CAATGCAAAATCTTTTAATTATTTTAATTTTTATTTTCTCCCAGTATGTTGGTATTATTTCAACTATTATAATCTAATTTATTAATTATTTGTTTTTTATTATATTTTTATTTCAAAAATCTTTCATTTTATATGACGATTTTATCATTCTAAACAACCTTTTTATTATAACGGTATTTTATAGAAAGCATTAGTGACATGTATCAGAACTGTTTGATAAAGAGAATTATCTTTAAAAAGTATTAGTGTTATATTCTTTTTTTGTTTTATATGATAAAATCTTTTATTTGTATTTATTACTTTCAAAAATTGTTTCTTTATTTAAAATTCTTGAACAATAAAACTTTATTAAAATAACCAAAAAAATAAAAATAAAAAATAAAACAAAAATTTAAATCTTTTATTTATTATAAATCGTTTTAAAATATTGTTTTATTTAATAATGATAATTTACTAATTTATTTCGTTGATAAAAGCAGTTGGACTTGTTTGAGTATATGTTGTAGATTCAATAAACATATCTAATTCTTGATCGCTATTTTTTGTTGTACTGTTTAAGATTTGGTTATCTAATGAAGGTGATTGAACTTTGTTTACATGCAAATGCTTTCTTTTTTTATTAAAATAATATTCTTGAAGTAATTGAGTGTTAGTTGGTTTTATTCTTCTTTGGAAATAAATTGATACAGTTTGAGGTAGGACAGTGATCACAATAGAAATAATAATCATTAAATAAAACAAAGGTTGTTTCAGTGTAAATAACCATCCCCAATAAGATATATTTCTCACAGACATTCCAGGAACAAACATAATGATAGTGTAAAGAATAATATATAATAAAATACTTCCTAAGAACGATAACATAATTATATGTCCACATCGTTTTGTATAAACGAACATAGTTACATAAATCGAGAAAAGACTGTACGTTGTGACTGTAACAACTGTAAAAGTAAATCCATTTACTTTTCCATCAAAGCTTGTCACGTCTGATGGGGCAATAATGAAATAAAATATAACAAAAAAGAGAATTGACTGAAGACCACCATATAAATACCATTCAACAAAGGATTTAATTTTGTACTGTTTATCAGTAAATGTTTCTCTATGAGATTTTGGATATCTTTTAATGATTTCCCAAGGAAGTTCATAATCAAATAAGGCAATAGCAGCTGGTGGTAGTGAAGTAAAAAATGTATTAAAACAAGTCATAACCCAATCATCATAGATAATTTGACAAGTAAAATTGGATATTGTAGCAAACCAAATATCCATAAGGAAGAATGCAGCATTCTTATAAAAACAAAACTTAATAAGAGTACTAATTTGATATTTGCCATTTCTTCCATAAAATAAAATTAATTTAGTTAAATGTTTGAATCTTCTAATAGCAAAATCTGCAGTAATAGCAGCTTGATTTCCTTCTTTACCATAGATCCCAACACCAACATCTCCATGAGTAAGCATTGGTATATCATTTGCACCATCTCCAATTGTAAGACATTTTGTTTTTGTCATTTGTTTTACACATAAAGCAATATCTGCTTTTTGTTTTGGACTTACCCTACAACAAATAACACTCTCTGCTTTTATAGCAAGAGGTTTAAATTTTTTTTGATATTTAATAAACCAATCAATATTATTTTCATAAATAACAATTCCAAGTGTTTGGTTTTGAATTAAAGAATTATCTTTTATTTCTTTAGAATCATACAATTCTTCTAATTCTTGATCTAAATGTTCAACAAATTCAAGTTCAGAAGTATGATTAAAATATATCATCTTTTGACCAGAAACAAATAACCTACAACTTAGTCCAACACTAATAGCTGTCTCCATTTTATCACCAGTAATTACCCATATTTTAAGTCCAGCTTCTCTTAGCATTGAAATTGTTGATGGAACACCTTCTTGCAATTGATCTTCAATAGCAGTTACACCAATTAATTCTAAATTATTTTCAAGTTGTTCATATAATTCCATTTGTTGATGTCTGACATCATTTGCTAAAGGATCAATTGAGTCAAACTTTTGTTTCCATTGAATAATTTCTTCTAAAGTAAAAACTCTTTTTGCAATAAAAAGTGTTCTCAACCCTTCACTTGCAAAATTATTTGCATGATCTTGTGATGTTTTGACAAGTTCTTTTGAATTATCATCTAATAATTGAATTATAACATTGTCAGCCCCTTTACAATATAAAACATATAATCCATCTCGTTCTACTAAAACGCTCATTCTTTTTCTTGAACTTGTAAAGTCTATTTGACATATTAAATTGAATTGTCGATGTTCTCCTAATACATCTAATGAAATATATTCTTGGGTACGTTCTTGTAAAATTACTCCATTTTTCTTTGAAGCATCACAAAGTGTTTCTTCATCAGGAGAAAATGAAGAATAACTATAGTCTCCAATATCTGAACGTTCTATGGTACATGAATTACATAGAGATAAACAATAAAGAAAATCAAGTAATTTTGGATTATCTACAACTCTTGTTTGAATACTTCCTTTAAGCACATTGTGGTATATTTCACCATAAATACTACACTTACTAAATTGCATTTTGTTCTCACTATTATAATTGAGTTAAAAAACTTTTTAAGTTATTTAATTATAAAGAAATACAAACGTTAATGTCCCTGTTTTATCGCTTAAAATATACTGGACCCCTCCCATTTCTTCAATCATTGAACAATTATTTGTTTTCATTCCAACAACTTTTTCTGTACCTTCAGAATCAAATTCTTTAATTTTAAAATCACTGTCCATTTCCATAATATTTCCTTGAATAAATCTACACACTTCTATAGTAACTCCAACTGATATTGGAATAGTATATGATATTAAATTAAAATATCCAAAGAACTTTTTTATTGAATATGTCATTGTAGACCATTGTGGGTCAATTGAATGAAGATACCAATACCCTTCATCTTGCACAACATTTTTATATTTCCAACTAGCAAATCCTGCCATAACACTACAAAGAAGTAATTGAAAGAAAACAGTAGAAAGAACAAATTGATTTAAACGATAGTCTAATGTTGAGTTCTTATTTATTGGTTTTGAAGAATTTAATGTTTGTTTAGTATATTTTCCTGTATAACATACTATAGCAATAACTTTATCAGTTTTTCTCAAAACAGAGCCTTGTAATAAAAGGTTTTTTGAATCTAATGCTATTGTATTTTCTCCATTAAACTTAAAACAACCTTTAAAGTCGTTAAAACTAGATGTAGGAGTTCCACATTCTAAAACCCCTTTAAAGTCAAGTGTTGAGTTTTCTGAACTTTTAGATAATTGTTTGGGTACATAAATTGTTTTCAATGATGTCTCTCCATCTAATGCAGCTGTTTCTACTTTACAAATACCATCAGGTAATGATGAATAAATAGGTACACAATCACAAGGTATAATTTCATTCTTAGTTAAAACAACTAAATCTCCAACAACAATATTCTTAGATGATCTAACAGTCTCTATTCCATCAGTAATAATAGCAAACTTTTTATTATTAAATTCTTCATCTGCACGATGCCTTTTTAAGTCTTCAATAATTTCTCTTATTGCTGAAACACAAAGAACGATAATAATTGGAATAACTGCAGTAATTGGTGTTACTGTAGAAATAAAAGGAATACAGCTAATTATCATATTAATTAAAAAATAAACATTTGTTAATAATTTATATTGGTAATATAAAAACTTAAATAAGAAAGAAAAAATAGAATATTTTGTAGTAGACATTTCATTATTTGGAAATAACTCTTTATTTCTTTTATGTTGTTGGATGAAAATAGGTGGATATGAATCTAAACATTAAGTTAGCTTTCAATCACTCTTTATATAGAAAGTACACTTTTCTTTTTAACAAACTATTTCTATGGTAAATCCAATCCAGTAATTTCATTAAGATATTTATTAGATAAATATTTTAATTAAATCTTTATATATATAACAAAAATAATAAAATTTTTGTTTTTTTATTATTTATTTATTAAACTAAGATTCGAAGGTAGCACGTCAGAGACACCACACAAAACCCTAAAATATTTCCATCCTTCGATTCCCCCAGTTATGGACTGGTTATGACGTGCCTTGGTGAGGTAATGCACCACCCAATACTAGATGGTTATTTTTTTATTATGACTGATTATTATGGAGGCATTATTTATAAGGATTATTATTTATAAGGATTATTATTTATAAGGATTATTATTTATAAGGATTATTATTTATAAGGATTATTATTTATAAGGATTATTATTTATAAGGATTATTATTTATAAGGATTATTATTTATAAGGATTATTATTTATTACTATTTATTAAGGATTATTATTTATTACAATTTATTATTTATTATTATTTATTATTATTTATTATTATTTATTATTATTTATTATTATTTATTATTATTATTTATTAAGGATTATTATTTATTAAGGATTATTATTTATTTTGATATGAGACTATTAAACTATTATGGTGGTAGTATTATTATTAATTAGGACGCAACACATTTATCAACGATAGATTTGGGCTGAGTACATGGTGTGTTATCAAGAAAAAGGGATTCTTTAATTGGTGTCGATGATAAAGAAGATAGGCCATAGTCTCATAGTGGTTATGGATATATTCTTCTAATAATAACACATAAACAATGAAGAGTTTTTTAATACTCATTTAATTCAAAGTATAAATCAAGCAGCAACTTAAATGAGGAACCATTTAAGTCGAGCGTGTTTGAAAAAAGCTTTATTTCATATGAAATAAAGCATGTTGAAGAAACTGGTTTTTGCTCACTTCTCAACATGATGAAAACCTAAATACAGGTAATTCATAATTGATTCCTTTTTCCTTATTTATTTATTAAACTATTTGTATATTTTTTTGAAGTTTCTTTTCATAAACATAAAAAATTTATAACATTAAAAAAAGTTATAAGAAGTTTATAGAATTTTCTGATAAACAACAAAAAAATCTTTTTGTTACTAATCTAATAAAATACCTTCATTCTCATCATTTCTCATAAATTCTAATTCTTCATGGTTTTCAAGTGAATATGGACTTCCCGTTGAAATTGACCCTTTTCTTTTCTTTGTGTTAATAACATACGTTGGCTTCTTTGTGTCTGATGACAAAGAAATATTAAAACGTTGAACAAATGAAGAAGAACGACTTCTAGAACGGGTTTGTGGTGAGAGTAATTCCTCATATGCTTCTGGATCTGCTTCTCTATCTTTGCTTGATCCTCTGCTTTTACTGTTATGTCTAGACAATGACCTACCAAATATACTTTCATGTTTAATTTCATCACCTTCAATAATGTCTTCTCTCTTTCTACTAGAAGATCTACTTCCTTTACTAATAGACAATGAAAATCTTCTTTTAGGTTTCTCGTATGTAACTTCACATGGAATAGTACTTACTTCAATTACTTTAATTGTTAAATCAACTTTTATATATGGTTTAGTTGGTTTATTAGTTGGTTTTTTAGTAATAAGAAATTCAGAGTCAATGCTTTCATCAATTTGAAAAAAATACATATACGATTCTCTAGCTAACACAATGTACTTATCATCATAAACTTTAACTAATGGCTCTTTATTAAATTTAGTTCTTAATTCATTGATCTTATTAACATATCCAATGAATTGAGGTGTTGGTGGATAAAAATACCAATGGGCTTTAGAAATATAATCAAACCCCTCAGTAATTTGAGGCCTATCTAAAGGAGATGCATATGCAATTTGTAACTGAATTCTTCCCATTGTTTCAGTTCGTTGATGTTCTACTGGATGAAGGTAATACCATTTCTTAATATTAGAAAAGAATTTCATTTCAGTTAAATCAAGTTCAATAACACCTAATAATTCTTTACTTTCATAGACATAAATTAATACATTATTTCTTTGTTGATCTAAATTAAATCGTATTGGGACAGGGTCAAACTCAGCATCAACCCCTTTAGCAACTGATGATTTAAGTTTAGTTTTGCCAAGTAATATTTCTAATTCAATACCTTTATCTTTTCCAACACTTTCTGCTTGAATAGGAATAATAGAAAGTGATCCTGTCACACCTTCTATAACGTGTTGTGGTAATGGATTATCTCTTGGGTCATGCCATGAAGTTTCATTAGTTAGGGTATTAATAAAATATCGTTCATTTCTAAAATAACCACAACTCCATCCTTGAGGTAATAATGTTAATTCTTCAGGATATGTTTTATCACAAATATGTTTTGTTGTTTTATTATCATAAACAACTCTGTTAATGTGGTCAATAAAATAAGGGATATTAGAATCAACTTCTCTAACTTCTTCAACTCCTTCTTTAAAGTTAATTTTAGGTGGACTAACTTTATGGGTCCCATAGAAATTCTTTTTTTTAAAGGTTAAATGAGAATAACCTAATGATGTAGCATACTCTACCATATTCTTTCTGTTCAATGGAAGAGCAAATACCTCTATTGGTATAATCATTCCTGATTCTTCTTTAGAACTAAGACTTGTTCCTGAAACTTTGAGAACAACACTATTTGTTAATGAAAATGGGGGTGCAATAACTGTAGGAAGTTGTAATGGTGAAATTGGTATATAAAGTTCAAGAGTAGTTACTCCTTTACCCACAATGTGTTTGCATTGAGAAAATATTCTTTTGTCCATTGCAGAATTATTTTTTTTTAAAGCCTCCAAAACAGACTCACAACTAACAAATAGTTCAAGGGATTTATCCATTTTATTTCTAAAAACTACTTGGCCTTTAAGAATATCTCCTTGTTGAACTTTATTTTTTTCTAAAGAACATTTAATATTAAATTTTTCTGTATCATGTTCTAAATCAATTGGGTTATAATCGTTGATAGTGCGTTGAGAATATAATAATGGACATTCAAAGGGTTGAGATTTATGTGTTGTAGAATCTTCTTCTTCAACTAAACCAATCATTTCCCATTTCAAATGGCAATTTCCCATTACAACGGTTACACAACAATTTTCTGGTAAAACAATTTCAAATGGAAAACGATTTACTCCAGGTGGATATTCAGTAAATCTTCCATCTTTAATACTGTAATGTTCACTAAAACATTCTGTCTCAACACTTTGAAATCCAGTATCATTTTTAAGCCAATCACCCCAAATAGAAACGTTTGATTTTTCTCTAGCGTCAATTGATCCACTATTGGTATAATCAGGATATCTACTTATTGTTCTAAATAATACTTTAACTTTTTTAATAAATACAGGGCGTTGTGTAGTTACTTCAACATAACCATTAATTGGTTCTCCAATAACTCCTTTGTTGCATAATGTAATATCAATTTTCATTTAGCCTGATAAAAGTTAATATTTTTTAGTTACAGCAGTTAGTAAGTATTTAAAAAGAGAGATAATTTAAGTTATGTATAACATAATTTAAAATGAATAAATTACAATCTAAAATTCTGAAATCTATTTGATATAAAAAAAGAATAAATCCTCAATATATAACCTTATAAATTAGAACTCAGAAACGAATAATAATCAAATGACTGAAACAGATACCTCAAATGGATTTGGAAATAGAACATTTGAAAAACCTGAACAAATTCAACAAATGTTAGAACAAAAAGTTCCAGTTGATTTTGTTAGTGTAAGACCTGGTCCTTCTAATATGAAACTTACATATTTAGAGAGTTGGAAAGCAGTAGAATTATCTAATGCATTATTTGGTTTTGATGGATGGAGTTGTTGTATTACCAATTTAAATGTTGATTATGTTGATGTAGAAAAAGGTAAATTTAAAGTAGGGGTTACTGCTGTAATTCGAGTTACTCTTAAAAATGGAGTTTATCATGAAGATGTTGGTGTTGGAATGTCAGAAATGCCCAAAAAAGGAATGGCTATTGAACTTGCTAAAAAAGAAGCAGTGAGTGATGGAAGAAAAAGAGCATTAAGACTTTTTGGGAATTATCTTGGAAATTCTTTATATGATACTGATTATGTAAGAAAACTTGATACAAATCATAAAACAAATGATACTAATCCATTAACATTTAATTCTATTAGAAATATTAATAAAGAAATATTTGAAACTCAGAAAAGTATAGTAACAAATTTTTCTGTTGCTTCATCAAGTGTAAGTCATTCATCAAATGAACAACCTATAAGTCCTGTTGTACAAGAACAAACTCAACCATTAAAATCTACATCATTAGCAGATGTCAGTTCTCATTCTCTTGATATGGATATTGATGATAGTATCTTTAATTATATTTAAATTGTTAATAAATTGAATTCTTAAAACAATCAAATTTAAATTAATTTCTTTTTTTCTAATGGAAGATCCAATGATGGAGGAGAATGTTTTTTTGGCTCTAAAGAAGAATGAGAGGATAGTTCTATTAATGCAAGTTCTAGATATTTTCTTGGTAAACGATTTACTCTTCTATCAAAAATTGAATAAAATTTAATAAATGTAGTAGTTGACATATTTGGTGTTATTATACCAAAGTTAGAATTAACAATATCTCTAACATCATCATAAACATTTAAGTATTGATCTTTTAAATAAGATTGTTCTTTTTTAAACAAATCTAATTTTATTGATTCATCTAATTTAATATCTTTAACATTTAAAAGAAAATTATCAGGAGTATCTCCATATAAAATTTCTCTTTTATCACTCATTTCAATAAGAATATCTTTTACTTTTAATTCTAATTGTTTCTTTAATTGTTCATCTTGTTGTTGTTTTCTTTTCTTATCTTCATTTTTTTGTTCTATATCTCTAATATAAAATTGATATAATTTCTCTTGATAATATTTTGGTATGTTCATTAAATCGCATTGTTTATAAAATGAATCATTTGTCATTTCATTATTCAATTGTTCATTTTCTGATATACATTTTCTCCATTTTTCAATTCCTTTCTTTTCTTCAATAACTAACTCATTTTTCCATATTTCAATAATATCTTTATCACTTAATGTTAAAAATTCTTTTTTTTCTTTTATAATTTTAATAACATCTTCCCATCCCATTTCTATTGTAATAATTCCTTCTTGCATCATTTGGCTGAAAAGTTCTTCACATCGTTTTCTATTTTCTTTTCTTTCTTTTTCAATTCTAAATTTTTCTTCTTCTTTTAATGCCCCAACGTATTCATTAAAAATACCTCTAACTTCTTTCTTTTTCATTCCATCTATAATTTTCATTTTTTTCTTTGTTTCTTCCCAAGTTGATTGAGAATTAACTCCAATATCTTTAAGCATTTGAATCATTTCTTCTTTTTTATTTATACCTTCTTCTTTAATTTGTTTATTTTCATTCTTTTCTTTAAGTTGTTGTATTCTTTGAATAACTAATTTATATATCTCTGGTTGTTCATTAACAATTTCTCCAGTTTTTTTATTTTTATATACTAATTTTCCATCTTGTTCAATTTCTTTCCAAGGACAAGTAGCAAGAATAAGTTCTTCTGGTGTTTTAAAAATATCAGGTTTTTCCTCAGTTAATACTTTTGTTTTACAATTAACATAGAAAATCTTCCCATTATAACCAACACATTGAACCCATGACTCTTTTTGAGTCTGAATTGTAATTCTATATTCTGTGAGTGTTTGTCTAACGTCAACACTATTTTTCAAACATTCATTTAGTGGTAGAGGTTGTTGAAAAGCCCCAGGGAACAAAGTCATTCCAGGAGTGATCCCATAGAATGGTATTGCCATAGCCAGCTAAGTAATGATTTTTGAGTTCTTATTTTATAATTTTTCTTTTTTTATGTAATAAAATAGTTATTTATAAAAATAGTTTTGTTATTAGTTTTTGTTATTAAACAAATAGTTTCAGCAATAATTCAAATATTTTTTAGAAATATAGAAAACATGAAAATTTTCACTTTTACATTTTATTATCAACTTTCAGTCAATCGTTCTCTAAGATAAAAGAACCCTGCAGTTAAATAAATACCAAAATGTAGTACTTGAATAAATTCAAGAACTGCAAGAGTAATCATTACAGCCAAATCAGGATGTGGTTTTAGATTACAAATTTTATTATCAAGTTGTAAGTCTGAAACAGGACAAAATTCATTTTTATCATCAAGTTTATGACAATTAGTTATATTTATTTTATCATTATCCCAATTAATTAATGGACAATCCTTAAAAGCAAATACTTTTCCATTATATTTTTTTGTTGTATAAGCAAAACAACATTGTTCCTATTTATTATTATTATTTAATTCGTTTAAAAAAATTAATTCATTATCAAACTTCTTGTTCTTTTTCAATTCTTCTTTCCATATCACCACTTTTCCAAGTATTTGGTAAAATTCCACACCCAACAATTGATAAAATTAAAAAAATAACAACAATAAACATAGAAACCATTGCTCCTGCATATGCAATACATACTATTTTTAGTGTCTTCTTTTGCATGAAATAAAATGTCATCATAAGTACTCCAAAGAAAATAGGTATTATATATATTATTATTTTAAATATTAATGAGTCTCTACTTCCAAAATCTTTAAAACTACATGCAAACAAAATTCCACATATCGATAAACAAAAATAAAAGAATGTATATAATACTGCTGGTCCATGTCCAAAAAGAGTACTATGTTGAATTAACACCATTGATTGTTCTTTTTTGTTTTTAAATTAGTTTTTCTTTTCTTTTTTTTTTTCTTTTTTATTGTTTTTCTTTTTTTATGTTTTATATTACTTATTTATTCTTTTTGGAATTTATTAATTATTTTAACTTCTTTGTGTATTTTATCATTTAATCTTTACTCGAATGTTTTGAAATTGATAGTTTAATCATCGTTATTTATTTACTTTTCTTCGTTTGAAATATTTAAAATAATATTCTTTAACTTAAATAGAAAAAAAATTTTTATTGAATAATTTAAGAAAGATTTCCTTTATAAAACATTTGAATACATCAAATCTTTTCAACAAAAAGAAAGAAAAAAGCTCTCATTTTTTATAAAGATAACAAAAAATATTGAAATGAGTGTAATTTTTTTTTAAATCTTTATTATTGAGAACTTTTATAATACTTAATAAGATAATAATTGTCAGAAAGAAATATTAAAAGTTTTAATAGAAATACGTTTTAAGTAACACTTATGATAATTTAGTTATTTACATATAGAAAGACCATTATTAAATTATTTGGTTATGGCAGGTAGATAATAAATTTTCAAGTTTTTTTTTAGGTTTTGTTTATAGTTTAATATAAAATAAACCCAAAAAAAAAAAAAGAAGTAATAATTATTTAATAAAGGAATTCTAATCATTACACATAAGAATGTATAATTTTTATTTATTAGAGTACAAAGAGAATTTTAGATAGATAAAATAAAAAAGAAAACATTTGTTTGTTTTAATACAGGGAGATTATTCTATATGAAGAATAAAAGGATTTTATTAACTTAATCAAAACTTTTTAGAAATTAACTATTTTTGGATAAGAATTAAGAACTACAGAAAGATAACTTAACTCAAAGAAAATAATTTTAGTTGTCAATTATAGTTATTGTTTGGTGATGACAATCTGATTTACCTAGTGAACTAAAAATTGAATTGTTGTTGAATGAGTTCAAAGAAAGAGAAGTTTACAATTCAACTTACAATTAATAAAATAACATCTACAAATGAAACAGAGGAATTTGTACTTATTAAATGGAAAACTGGGAAAAATAAGAAAGGGATAATAAAAGATATTCAGATGAATCGAAATATAAGGAAAGACATATCATTAACGATGACACTAAAAAAAGTGTCTGAAAGTAGATATCAAACAAAAGATATTTGTCTTAAAATTAAAAAAGAAAAAAAAGTATTGGTTCAATTTAAAATAGATATTTCACAAGTTTTTAGACTTAAAAATCAAATTGGAGGATTTGAGACAAAAGAAAAAAATAAAAAAGGAGAAGAATATATTATTTCATATATCATTTCTATTCAAATAATAAATCCAAATAGTAATATTTCAAAAGGTACTAATAGTGTTATTACAAAAATTGATGAAAAAGAAGATGAAAAGAATTTTATATTATCAAGTGATAACACTCAAAACACTTCAAAAATTAAAACATCTACTTCTATTAAAAAACCAGTTAGAAACACTTTTGATGCAGAAAAAATTAAAGTTTCAAGAAAAAGATATTCAATGAAAGATATTAATATTGAACAACAAATAGGAAGTAGAAAGTCATGTTTAATAGCTAAACCATTTTATCTAATTGATGAAGAAACTATAAAAATTATTAATGAAATTACTTCAATGGATAATTATCGTGAATTTATGTTTAAAACATCTAAAGAATTTGCAGATCATTTTATAACTAGTACTGAACAAAGTAAAATAGTATTTGAAATAAAAGAAGAATTAAGTAAATTTACATTATTATCTTGTGTATTATTCTCTCTTATTATACAAAAGAATAATGATATATTATTTAAAGAATGTATTAATCAATTTCTAAATAATGATTATTCTTTCTTAGAAACTGAATATATCTTTATTTCATTCTTTGAAACTATAATACTTCTTAATGCAAAAAATAAGTCTAAAAGAGTAGAAATATGGAGAGAATGTACTGAATTTTGTACTTCTAAAACTTGTCTTATTGCAGATAAATTAATGGATAAATTAATTAAATCTTACCAATTTGAACCAAAATCAAATTATAAAGAAATTATGGATGAAATTTATAAACTAAGATTTCCTGATTCATTAAAAAATTTATTAGAACATATTTCATTGTATGCATTAGATGTAAAATTATATAAATCATATTTAAATAAATTATATTTGTCTAATAATGATGGTAATATTTTATTATCAACTATTTTTTCTTATGATTATTCATTTCAACAAATGCCTTTATGTCTTGAATTATCTAAACTTTTAATGTTAGATGATCCTCAAACACTTAAAGATGAAGATATTAGACTTAGATTATGTCCTCATATTTCATTAGATGATATTAAAACATTTTTATATCTTAATATCTCACCTCAAAGACCTTTATTTACTAAATCTTCTATTGATACAGTAATAAGAGAAATACAACAACAAAGATTTCTTAGTTATTCATTAATTCCACCTTTCTTTAAACAAGAACAAATAAAAGAATATTTAAAAACATCTTCAATTAAAGGTGTTTTAACATTCTCATTTAAATCAACACCTTTTGCTGATAAACTATATCTATAGTTCTTTAAACACTTATATTACATAACTTAATTTTTTGCTTGTTTTTTTATTTGTGATATCTCTTTTTCATTATTAAATCTTGGTAATTTAACTTCGTCAGAACTAACATCTTCTCCATCAATTATTTCATTTTCATTTAACAAAAATTCATCAATAGACTTCTTTATATCTTCATTACTCTCGTTTTTATTTTCTTTTTCTTGTTTCTCAATTGAATCTTCATTTTCTTCTTCTCTTTGACAATTTTCTATTTCTTCTTTTGTTCTAAAAAAATTATCTTCATTTAAATCAATGAGTTGTGGAAAGTTTTCAAGTTCAATAGAAGGGTTTAATAAATGTGAACATCCAACTTCTAATTGTCT